ATGTTTTCTATTTCGTAATTAAAATTAATTGGGGGACATACAATTTATAACTATGAATAATATATGAATATATGAAATATTTTGCCATAATCTTTAAAAACATTTAAAAAACAATGATTAATACTTCAATAAAACTGCTTCACTACTTAATAATATGAAATAAAAACACCTGTCTGCCAAATAATATTAATGTGGTGCAACTAACATGCAGAAATAAGCATGAACATGAAAGAAAAAGAAAAAAAAAAGAGAGGACCCCAGGGTAGTTCAGGTTTCAATGTCATGTGGTGCAACTCCCACAAAATGTAATGATATTTATAAATTAATAAATCATAATTTGTAAAAATAAATAAATAAATACTAAAGAATACATTTAGATTTGTTTTAAATAAACTCACATGTATTCAAGGAATAAGTAAGAAAATATGACTTTCTTTCTTATTTGTCAGATAGTCCAAATGCACCCTTTGGAATACTTCGATTTTGAATAAGAGTATTTGGAATACTCTTACTCTGAAAGATGTAAAAAAATAAATAATAATTTTTCATTTGTATTAAGCGCTAAGAGTCTTTCTTTATGACTAAAATATGCTACAAAAACATTTCACATTATCCTCTTGTTGGAAAAATAAGGAGACTCTTCATCAATATTTTCAGAACACTAAAATAAAGGTGCTTCACGATGCCATAGAAGAACCTTTTTGTCTAAATGGTTCCATAAAGAACCTTTAACATCTGAAGAAGCTTTCTGTTTCACAAAAGGTTCTTTGTGGTGAAAGAAGGTTCTTCAGATTATAAAAAGGTAAGAAAGAGATGGTTCTTTAAAGAACCTTGGACTGAATGGTTCTTTGTGGAACCAAAATGGTTCTTCTATGGCATCGCTTGAAGAACCTTTTGAAGCACCTTTATTTTTAAGAGTGTACAGACAAACACAAAGTGGGTGTGTACAAAGGAGTGTCTCAAGATCCTGCCATAGGAAATGCTGCAGGATTTGTAACAGAGGGGGAGGAAAATCTTCAAGTCCCAGAAAATGCCTAACCCTCCAGTAATTTAAACAGATAAAAATGGAGAACTACAAAACAAAAAGCTGTCCTGAACTCTGCTTAGAGACAAAAAGTAGCGATTGAGAAATCCAGATGTTAATAAAAGGTTCTGGTGGTTCTCTGGTGTGTGGTATGAAACTCTACCATGTGGTCCAGGAAATACACATTTACTCTGACAATATATGAGAATTTCAAATGAAAAACTATAATCCAGCAGCACCAGTCCAAGTGTTCCGTGGTCGACTTGGAAAACATGCTCCAAACCCGAAAGTCTTGAAGAACAAGGCTTCTCCACAGGCTGGCAACAATACAAAATCACTTTTGTGTAAGAAATAAGTGGGGGTCAAACTTGGGTTGCAATGTGACACTAATGCTCCTATACCACATCACACAAAAGAAGCAGAAGTAATCACAGGCGTGAGGCACACTGCAGATTAACCAAAGCTGAACTGCAGCTCAGCGATAATCTACATGCTTCCAGAATTTAAAGTAAAACACAGCCATAGGAAACTCTTCTCTCTTTTTTTTACATTAATACACAAATATATAAAATATGACCACATGAAAACAAACGCAGAGCAAAATGTACATTTATTACATTTTTTATATCTGATTCCCTGAAGTGATTTTGACTTGCTCATTCAAGCAAAGCAAATCTTGGCCAGCTAATCCTAAACCTTTTACTTTATAATGCAGTTCTAAAATGACCTTTTAAAGACTTTCTCCTCTAACCAGTAAACTCACCTCATAAAATATATATGCAATAATAAGTACATAGTTAAAATGACATGCACATAAACTAGTAAAACACAAAATGATCATTAAAAAAAATTTATGTTTTGTTACATAGTTGCTTTACGTTTTGCAGAAAAGCCTAGACAAGTACATAAAAAATAATAGTTTAAATGGCATCACTTTGAATAAAAACAGTATAGAAAAAAAGTGCATAAAAATGGTTTAAATGACATGCATGTAAACTAGGTAAACAATGCAGTCATTTTATTTCAAAAATATATAAAAAACATTTCAATCAAAAATAAAAGTACATAAAATAAATAGATGAAATGGCTTGCACTTAAACTAGGAAAACAAAATATGGCCATTCTAATGTTTCTGTACAAATATAAACAATTAAAAATGCAAACAAGTTTCAATTGAGCCAGACAGCAGACACTGAGAGAAAGTAAATGAAGTCAATGAGAGACTCACCAGAGCGTTGATCCCTCAACAGCCTGTGCAGTAGTGAAGGAGTTGAGCAGAGCAGAGGAGAGGGAGTTCTGCTGCCTGTGCTTTCTTACGCGAGAGCTTCTGTTGCGCGGCAGTGGAGTCGAGAGACTACTTTCTCAGGCTGAGCTGTGTTTGAGATACGATACTGTGGCTCTTTTTGTGTCGCCAACAAATTTGATCACAAAAAACGCGGTTCGCGATGGGAAGGCTCTAATGTGACCCTTGACCTCAGTCTTTCTTTGCAATGCTGTTTTCTTCTGAGGGCCACTTGTGCGCTCCACAATAACCCGAGTCAGAAGAAGCGGCACATTTCGACAGGGGGAAAATAATGGCATGCCTTGCTCGCAATGTGGAGCCGGTGGGGGATCATAGCAACGGGGACTAGCGTGCCTTTACGTTACAAACCCCCCCCGCCACTCCGAAACCCCCCTCCTTCAACCATATCAATAAACAGAAGATGAACTGAGCATTTAATGGGGCCGTTTATGAATAAAGACTAGAGATTATCCATTGTAGACTGTTGAAAGCCAGACAGATGAGGCCCCTTGGAACTCAGAGAATGAGTGAGAAGAAATCTGAGTTGAAATCACAAGGGCGAGCAGGACAGAGAATAACAGACTGGGGTCCTTGTTTCTTGGGTCCCTGCTGTGGATTGTTGGGGCATCATACATTGGAGCAGCAGAGGACAAAAATAAGGGCACGTGATCCTCAGACAGATGTGGAGCCCCGAGCGAACAGCAAGAGCTATAATCTGTCTTTCATTCTGGAACATCACAGCTGTGTAGGACATTCATAATATCTTTTTCTTCTGTCTGGGCCCGTCTTCAATGATATGCTAATATAGTTCGCTTTACTGAATGAGCCCACTATCCCACTATTTTACCAGAATAGGCTAAATAATACAGTGCCAATACTTGTGAGTCTTAATTGGAATGTCTTCAAGCCTCATTATATGCTGCCCCTCGAGACTTTGTTGCCCTGGGGGCAAAGCACAGTGTAACATGATTGTTAACGAGAGAAAAACCCATCTTCTGTCAGATTCAAGAGCTAAAATGGTTTGCTTTTAAACTGGACAAAACAACATAAGCATAAGGCTTATGGAATTCCATTTTTGAAAACACGCAGAAAACATTTAGCTCTATGGCAAATGATCACAATGTACAATGCTGCGAGTTACACCTCATAGTCATTTATTTGGCAATTTCACTTAAATGCACCAATAATATGATCCACTGACTGTAATGACTCATTTATATCATTTAATATTAGTCAACCAGTAATCTGACTGAAATTACAGTCTTCACATTCTGGCAACATATTGAGGAAAAACAGCTTTAAATTTTATCACAACAGTTGGCATCCCATTTTGCAGTATATATAGTATATCACATTGAACAATAAATCCACACCATTATTTAGTTTGATAAATTCATGTTATTTTGAACATTTCCCATTGGTTGTGTTTTTATATGTGAATGTGTGTTTGTATATGTGAATGTGTCTTTAAAAGAAAGGCACAGTAAAGTCATTGCTGGTCTGTTATTTTTAGTCAAAGTGTTGACTCCGTCTTTGTCCTCTCTTCTCATTAAGATACATGTTGACGTAGGAAGTCAGCAGGTCATCAATTTTATAGCCCTTATAAAAACAGGATAAAATTCTATTATTTTAAGATCTGAAAAATGATACTTCAAATGGCAAAAATCTTCTATTGTATATATATATATATATATATATATATATATATATATATAAAATATATTAAATTATATATATATATAACATTATATAATAATAATATATATATAACACACACACACAAACACACTACTGGTACTGTATATTGTTACAATTAAATTTCTCAATTTTTATAGAAATTTTTATAACAATATAAAAATTACATTTTTATAACAATTTCTATTTTAATTATCAGTCACCATTACTACAGTCTCCAGTGTCACATGATGCTTCAGAAATCATTCTAATGTGCTGATTAAATATTGTAAACAGGTTTTGCTGCTAAATCATTTTTCTTTTTTTCTTCTACTTTAATCTTACTTACCTCACACTTTTAAATTGTAGTGTATCACGGTTTCCACAAAAATATTAAGCAAACAAAAACATTGATAATAATAAGAAACGTTTCTTGAGCACCAAATCAGCATAATAGAAACAGTTTTGAAGTATCATGTGACACTGAAGACTGGAAAAAGCCACATCTGTGTCACTTACCAGGGAAGTTTCACACAGGATTTTGTTCCCTCTGACAAGGTTTCCTACAGTCATGTGGAAGTATGTGCTTCCACTGCACCAGTTTGCAATTTTGTTATATGGATGCACTGCCAGAATGTCCTTAAAACAGTGTAAGAGTTACGATACAGTACATGATTCATATTTTAAGTAGACATTGTAATTTTACATTCAAGCTTACAGGAACACTCATCTGAGGTGTTATACAAATGTTGCACAGGGAAACACATGATAAGCAGTTAAAGTGAGACAAAAAAGCTTGTTCAAAAAGAGTTATCAATTGATGATACCTTTGTTTTGGGGTGAATGACAGTGACGCCCTGTTTGCTAATGGCAATTCTCACAATGTCAGGGAAATTGGGCTCTGATGTTTGCTGTAATATCAAGAATCATTTTATAAACTTTTTTTTTTAAGTAATATTAGCAAAAATATTGTGCTGTAGACTCAAATTGCTTACTTTCACGTCAAAAAAGGCACAGCCAAATGTGGGCCATTTGTAGACAATCTTTAAAAAGCCAATCACTGCCTGTTCCACAGTCGTGCCAGTTTGCTTGTTGTACTCAGCAAAAATGTGCTGTTGAAAAATGGTTATGAATAAGAAACACTTCAGAAGCATAATATTACTTATACATTAACAATGCACAGAATGCAGTGCAGTGCACTGGAACTGACCTTTTTCCATTCATCAGCAGACATGGCTTTAAGCTGGTCATTAGGCACCAGGTCTTTCAGCATCCTAGGAATCATGGGAAACTGAGTTTTATCATTGTCCACTTTCATCCTGAAGAGTAGAGCGCCTAGCATCACCATTTCTTCTTTGGTACAACGATGATAACCTCTCAAGTACTTGGGCAACTCCTAGATAGTGTGAGAAATATGGAAAAATATTTTCTTCAATGCTTTCAGGGAAGCTATATGGAAAATTTTCCAAACTTTTTTAAGAGCGCAGCACAGATTGCCAGTACCTGTGGATAATGGAAGATGAGATCCGCCTCCACATCTCTACCAGGGATAATGTTGAACCATAGTTTTCTCATAAAGAAAACCGTGTAGGACACATTCACTGGACCACCCGCTGTTTAAAACAGTATAAGCAACAGCAGTTGTTTTGAATTTGACTTAACTATGTAACAATGGTGACTGACTCAAACTTGTTCCTTTTAGGGTACGTTTAACATGACAACAATGTACTAAAATGTACGAACGACAATGTTGTCAAAACAATCCCTGTAAATGTCACGCAAATGCCTACAAACGTTGTACTATGTATGCCAGGCCAGTAGTTGGCGATGTAACTTTGCAAAGAAGTGACTAATTATGTCACTATTTTCAAAAATTCACAATTTATTTTGAGTTTACACAGAGACGACAACAGAATCGTTTACAAAAACTTGCATTTCGAACCCCCAAAACACCACTGTTGTGTACATGAACAGCGAAAACACATACAGTTTTTAGCTAAAAATGGTGTCATGTAAACATTCCCTCAATCAGTGATCTAAAGATTAAAAACACCTAATAAAGTTATCAAAATCTTACCCTGATTCACTCTCTTTGCTCTCCTGGACCAGTCAGTAATCTGTCTCAGGCTGTCAAAGAAGTAGTCAGTTTCATTCAGACTCAGAACCTGACAGAAAGAAAATGCTAGTTTAATATACAGACAAAGGTTATGTAAAAATGAACACGAAAAATGAAAGGACATGACATGGGATCATTGGCAGAGCTGTAACCACTGTAGGCATTGAGGAGGCAATGTCTCTCCCAATAATCAGACTAAGATATAACAATATATGATTTTTTAAAAAGTCAGTTCTTAAACTATTGGTTTAAGATCCTGAATATGTGTTTACAGCCATGACTGTTAAATATAAATCATGGTAACCGGGGTACAAACCTTATCAGGAGTTTTCACAAAGATGCTGAAACCTTCAGCTGAGGACAACATGAGTTTATTAGCAATGGTCCGGACCAGGTCCTTTATCTTGGTGTTGGATGCCACCTCAAAATTCTGCCCAGAAGTGCGAGAAAACAAAAAAAAAAACATTTCAGGGACACTAGATTCATATTCCATGAATAAAATGCATGATTTGCATTGGCAGCAAATTGACTGTAGATTTCATGTTTATTCAACTGCAATTATTTTCACAATTTTTAACATTATAAAAGTTATTGAAGCACAAACTACTACTGTAGGGCTAAAATAATGATGCTGCACTAGTGCCTGACTGGGGAGCAGAAAAAAAAATGTGTTGATCCATGTACTGTGTGTCGCATTACCTCTTGAGTGTCATTGGGGAACTGAATTTTGTGGAAGATCTGGGTGCTGTTCTGCTGAATTGCATCAACCTCCACCTGGTGAGGTGGAAGCTTTCTGGGCTCCATTCTAGCACAAAACCAATGGCAAATGTCATCTTACACACAGTAAACATACTATCACACCAAATCAACAATGCAGTTCTCATCATCTGCGACCCAGCTTGTGGACTCACTATAATTTCAACTATAGTGCTACAGTAGTGTTTCCCAAACGTGGAAGTCTTTGAACAGTTGCAGTAGCAGATGAAGCCGCTGTAAATTCTGTACTATCCTATCGCTCAGTGCTGACACTTTCCTGGCATTGCACCAGTCTGGCAAAGGTTAGCGTGCTAAAAGGAGAGATGTTGCTGCGCTAATAGTGTGAAACAGTGTGTGATTTTAAAAGACTGAATTGCTAGTACCTAGAAACAATCATTTTTTATTAAATTATATTAAATATCAAAGTAACTGTGTTAAGTGGCTATCATATGCAAAGTTGTTTTAGAACATGTAAATAAGCCAAGCTTGTGTTAACATGTTAAACTGTTATCGTCTGCTAACAGGGTGTTTATCTAGTCATGCTTTACAGTATATCAGTCCAGTAATATAACACACATGCTGTTTGAGATGAGCTCCAATAGGTTATATGGCTCTCAGGTAAGCCAGCCAAAGTTCAAAGAGTAAAAAACAATACAGGCTTTATTCTCATAAGCTTTTATACAGTGACTTAAACATTAGCTTTTAGTGATTCTATAACTGAACTCACATGATAGTAAAGCTTAGGAATGTATGATCAATTCACGAAGTCTGTTCATTCGTTGCATTTCTTCATGTTGTTATACCCATAAAGCAATGTGATTTCATTTGTAATGATAAAAGTTTGGGTTGAAATAAAATATGCTTGTGGAATATTGGACATACCTCCGAGCCCCTTGCAGTCTCTGGAGGCAGTCTGTGGCCAATGGCTCTCGTTTGCGTGTCTCAATAAAACGCTGAGCATGTTTCAGCAGAGAGTTACTGGGAGGAAAGAGACCACAGCACAGCCACAGCAGCTGCCAGCCCTGCTCCACACTGTACCTGATTGAGAAAGAACACTTATACAAGTTAACTTGCTTTTTAATAACGTAACAGTTATGTATTTATTATAAACTAATGTAATAATAAGCATAGCATCTGAAATGGCATATATACCATAGACTGCATGTTTCACAGATTATCTAATGTCTAAAAGTGAATCAATGAATCAGTTCAATGAACCTGCTGCTTGTTGACGGAATCACTGAATTGAATTAATTTAAATTATTATTAATTTATGTAGTCACATTTAAATGCAGACTCAAAACTCATCTGTTTAGCTGTGCATTTATTGAATGAGCACTGTGCGATGTCCGAACTGATTGCACTATATTTTATGTATAATCGTTTTCTATTCTTAACCGTTTTAAATTCATTTTAAACCTCTTAAATCATTTTTTTTTTATCATTTTCAAAGTTTTGAAATTAAATTCCTTGTTTTCTTGTTGTGATTATTTTTTTTATTTTCTTTTATGTAAAGCACTTTAAATTTCCATTGTGTATGAAATGTGCTATATAAATAAACTTGCCTTGCCTTGCCTAGTCTCTTCTAAGTTTTATATGGTTTTATGGTTTCTAACACGAAAGTTTACAATGTTTTTTTTTCTGAAATGCCCATTGCTTATTTAATTTCATAATGATAAAAAATATTGGCACCTGAAACTCTGTAAAGTATGATTGTTTGGTCCTGTGCTGAAAAGGAAATTTAAAGACTGAATATCTTGAAACTAACTGTATACCAGTGATCTAAAGCTTCTAGACCTATAAGCTGGTTAAATGATCAAACTTATTAAAAGATAGCTTATTAAAAGAAAAAGAACACTGATGGATAAAGAGGTTAAAGGTTGCATAGTTCCCCCTCACTGTTATTAAGGGCAAGCTGACTTTGGTGCAACTACAATCCCAAAAGGGAAACTGTACAGAACTATTGAGAAACTGTGCCTCTGTCACATCTTTGTATCAAGTTCACAAGTGATTATGATTTCAACAGATATTCTAGTGCTGTCAAACGATTAATTGCGATTAATCGCATCCAATATAAAATATTTTGTTTACATAATATATATGTGTGTACTGTGTATATTTATTATGACTATATAAATACACACACATGCATGTATATATTTAAGAAAAATGTTACGTTTATATATTAAATATATTTATATATGATATAAATTACATGAATATAAATATATACATGTAATTATTTTCCAAATAATATATGCTGTATGTGTGTGTATTTATATATACATAAATAGACACAATACACACACATATATTATGTAAACAAAAACTTTTATTTTGGATACGATTAATCATTTGACAGCACTAGATATTGCTCTTATTTATTGCTTGCATGTGCATTACCATTCAAAAGTCTGGGGTCAGATTAATTTATTTTTATAATTAATACTTCTATTCCACAAAAATGCATTAACTTGATCAAAAGTGACAGTAAATAATGTATAATGTTAATAAAATATGAATAAAATACATTGTTATAAAAGATTACTGTTGTTCTTTTGAACTTCCTATGCATAGAAGAATCCTGAAAATTGCATCATAGTCTATTATAAAAAAAAATTCTTTTTTTGAAAACCAAATCAGCATATTATAATGATTCTGAAGAATCATGTGACACTGAAGACTGGAGTAACATTAATATTTTTTTTCAACTGGATTTCTGTTAAATAAATGCAGCCTTGGTGAGCATAAGAGACTTCTTTCAAAAACATGAAATATTTTACAGACCCCAAACTGTTGTGGTAGTGTACAGGCATTCAATAGGCAATGCAGTATTGACTTTGAGCATGTAATGCTGTTTACCTGTTGTTATTGCTGGTCATTTGTTTCATGATCTGACAGTAGATCTCATCTCTGAGCTCCTCATTTCCTGTAGGTGGGCCAAAGATCTGGTCTGTGAGTTCCAGGGGGCTCTGGACCTGTCTAGTTGGGTAGTCACCCATGTACTTCAGAATAGGTGCACACCATTTAGTCAAGGAATCAGCACTTTCCTGGGTCGTATCCTACCTGGATAACCAGGTTAGCTGGTAAGTTTTACTTATGGATTAGTGCTCATGTAACCCTACATCAAACTACAACAGCTGCCATGTTCTACAGCTTTATGCATTACTACATTTAGATATGAATTAGGCAAATAAAAGGGCTCAACTGCTACTTTGGCAATAAGCAATGTTCAAAGATATGAGTGCAATAAATGATAAAGGCTTAAATATGTGTGGCAAAGGATATCAGTGAAGGCATTGCAGGCTAGTGGGCTTAAATCTGGATTGCCCACCAGTCTTTTTAGCAGGGGCTGTCTGATGGGTTCTCTGGAGTTGGCCCACAGCCTCTCAGGTGCTGCATTCTTAGAGATGACCTGTCTGTTCACATCTTTGATGGGCTGCCTGTGACAATGACAAAAACAACAGGTCATTCATGTTCACTTCTGAAATGCTAAAGAATTTAGTATGTTTTAAATAAGAGCAATAATGATGTGGTCCAAAAGTTGCTGCAAGTACCTGAAATAATCAACAGAGAAATCTTTTAGAGTTGAAGGAGCCACTCTTTCAGTGATGGTTCCTTTTACAGAGTTGTCTATGATGGTCTTTCTCTGATCTGGGGACAAGCTGATCAGGCTCTAAAAAAACAGAGCAAACCTTCAGAAACCAAAGCTTGAGGGCAGGCTTGCCCTTCCTAATTTCTTATTTTACTACTGGGCAGCAAATATACATTCTACATTATTCTGGTTTCAAATCATTATGGGCTCAGTGATTGGGTCCCGTCTTGGGTCAGTATTGAAGAGGGTTTCTGTTCCCCTGCTGCACTATTGTGTGGCCCTCTTACTGCCATCTCATGTTGTCCTTATGGTAATTCTATTGTTCAGCAATCGTTACGAATTTGGTCCCAATTCTGAACCCATTTTGGCCTTCAGCACTTACCAGGAGTTTCACTTATAAATCGCAATCCTTTATTCCCCCCTTCACTTAATGACAAGGCATTTAATATTTGGCAGAGAGCAGGGATTTCAGCTGTCAATGATATTTATATTGATAATATTTTTCCCTGCTTTTCTCAATTGAAACAAAAATTCTCTCTCTCTAGTGCACAATTTTTCAGATATTTGCAGCTCCGAAATTTTGTTAAAAACTCATTCCCTGATTTTCTGAATCTTCCTCCAAAATCTTCGCTTGATCAGACTCTTGAAGTAGCCTTGGATAAAAAGGGTGTGTTGTCTACTCTATACAGGCTGATTTCCTCCATCTCCACTTCCTCTCTCTCTTTTATTAAACAACAACGGTGTTTGATGACGAGACTTGGAACCAGATCCTGTCCCGTGTTCATACCTCCTCTATTTGTGCACGTCATAGTCTTATCCAATTAAAATTTATTCACCGAATTTACTGGACAAAAGTGCGGTTGGCAAAAATCAAGCCTGGTATTGACCCTCTCTGTGATCGTTGCCATCAGGCCCCTGCTGATTTAATACATATGTTTTGGCTATGTCCATCCATTACTTCTTTTTGGCTATCAATCTTTAATTGTTTTTCTTTAGTGACAAAGAAACAGATCGAGCCTTGCCCTTTGGTTGCACTTTTTGGACTTCCTTCAAATGTCACTGGTTTACCTGGAAATACTGTAAAGACGTTTGCCTTCTTAACATTATTAGCTAGACGGCGCATTCTCCTGCTGTGGAAACAAAAATACCTTCCATCTTTCGATGACTGGATGAGAGATGTCATGAGCTTCATTCATTAGGAAAAAATTAGGTATACGTTAAAGGGCAACACTGGTATATTTTCTGAGATCTGGGATCCCTTCATTATTTTTTTTCTGAATACTGTATGTCAGTACTTCTTCTTAGAGTGTGTCAACCTAAGCATTAAGATGTTAATATGACTGTGGCCTGAATCTGGTTACTTCCTATGCATAGAAGAATCCTGAAAATTGCATCATAGTCTATTATAAAAAAAAATTCTTTTTTTGAAAACCAAATCAGCATATTATAATGATTCTGAAGAATCATGTGACACTGAAGACTGGAGTAACATTAATATTTTTTTTCAACTGGATTTCTGTTAAATAAATGCAGCCTTGGTGAGCATAAGAGACTTCTTTCAAAAACATGAAATATTTTACAGACCCCAAACTGTTGTGGTAGTGTACAGGCATTCAATAGGCAATGCAGTATTGACTTTGAGCATGTAATGCTGTTTACCTGTTGTTATTGCTGGTCATTTGTTTCATGATCTGACAGTAGATCTCATCTCTGAGCTCCTCATTTCCTGTAGGTGGGCCAAAGATCTGGTCTGTGAGTTCCAGGGGGCTCTGGACCTGTCTAGTTGGGTAGTCACCCATGTACTTCAGAATAGGTGCACACCATTTAGTCAAGGAATCAGCACTTTCCTGGGTCGTATCCTACCTGGATAACCAGGTTAGCTGGTAAGTTTTACTTATGGATTAGTGCTCATGTAACCCTACATCAAACTACAACAGCTGCCATGTTCTACAGCTTTATGCATTACTACATTTAGATATGAATTAGGCAAATAAAAGGGCTCAACTGCTACTTTGGCAATAAGCAATGTTCAAAGATATGAGTGCAATAAATGATAAAGGCTTAAATATGTGTGGCAAAGGATATCAGTGAAGGCATTGCAGGCTAGTGGGCTTAAATCTGGATTGCCCACCAGTCTTTTTAGCAGGGGCTGTCTGATGGGTTCTCTGGAGTTGGCCCACAGCCTCTCAGGTGCTGCATTCTTAGAGATGACCTGTCTGTTCACATCTTTGATGGGCTGCCTGTGACAATGACAAAAACAACAGGTCATTCATGTTCACTTCTGAAATGCTAAAGAATTTAGTATGTTTTAAATAAGAGCAATAATGATGTGGTCCAAAAGTTGCTGCAAGTACCTGAAATAATCAACAGAGAAATCTTTTAGAGTTGAAGGAGCCACTCTTTCAGTGATGGTTCCTTTTACAGAGTTGTCTATGATGGTCTTTCTCTGATCTGGGGACAAGCTGATCAGGCTCTAAAAAAACAGAGCAAACCTTCAGAAACCAAAGCTTGAGGGCAGGCTTGCCCTTCCTAATTTCTTATTTTACTACTGGGCAGCAAATATACATTCTACATTATTCTGGTTTCAAATCATTATGGGCTCAGTGATTGGGTCCCGTCTTGGGTCAGTATTGAAGAGGGTTTCTGTTCCCCTGCTGCACTATTGTGTGGCCCTCTTACTGCCATCTCACGTTGTCCTTATGGTAATTCTATTGCTCAGCAATCGTTACAAATTTGGTCCCAATTCCGAACCCATTTTGGCCTTCAGCACTTACCAGGGGTTTCACTTATAAATCGCAATCCTTTATTCCCCCCTTCACTTAATGACAAGGCATTTAATATTTGGCAGAGAGCAGGGATTTCAGCTGTCAATGATATTTATATTGATAATATTTTTCCCTGCTTTTCTCAATTGAAACAAAAATTCTCTCTCTCTAGTGCACAATTTTTCAGATATTTGCAGCTCCGAAATTTTGTTAAAAACTCATTCCCTGATTTTCTGAATCTTCCTCCAAAATCTTCGCTTGATCAGACTCTTGAAGTAGCCTTGGATAAAAAGGGTGTGTTGTCTACTCTATACAGGCTGATTTCCTCCATCTCCACTTCCTCTCTCTCTTTTATTAAACAACAACGGTGTTTGATGACGAGACTTGGAACCAGATCCTGTCCCGTGTTCATACCTCCTCTATTTGTGCACGTCATAGTCTTATCCAATTAAAATTTATTCACCGAATTTACTGGACAAAAGTGCGGTTGGCAAAAATCAAGCCTGGTATTGACCCTCTCTGTGATCGTTGCCATCAGGCCCCTGCAGATTTAATACATATGTTTTGGCTATGTCCATCCATTACTTCTTTTTGGCTATCAATCTTTAATTGTTTTTCTTTAGTGACAAAGAAACAGATCGAGCCTTGCCCTTTGGTTGCACTTTTTGGACTTCCTTCAAATGTCACTGGTTTACCTGGAAATACTGTAAAGACGTTTGCCTTCTTAACATTATTAGCTAGACGGCGCATTCTCCTGCTGTGGAAACAAAAATACCTTCCATCTTTCGATGACTGGATGAGAGATGTCATGAGCTTCATTCATTAGGAAAAAATTAGGTATACGTTAAAGGGCAACACTGGTATATTTTCTGAGATCTGGGATCCCTTCATTATTTTTTTTCTGAATACTGTATGTCAGTACTTCTTCTTAGAGTGTGTCAACCTAAGCATTAAGATGTTAATATGACTGTGGCCTGAATCTGGTTAGGAGTCTGTGATTATATGTGTGGATACTTACGTATGTATATGTATATACTTTAAAGCTGTAAGGTTTTGTTTAAAAATATATATTTTTTGTTTGTATATGCATACCTTTGATAAATGGTCGAAATGTCTAAACTTTAATGCTCCAACATATATTCTATACTTGAGACATTAGGCTTGACGTTCTTTGTTTTACAATATGTATTGAGTTAAAAAAAAATTTTTATGTTTTATTTAGTTTGTTTAATTATACTTTAATACAGTGTTTTTTGTTGTTGTTGTTTTTTTCTATTTTCTTTGGGGGGGTGGGGTGGGGGGAAACTATTTTTTCACGATTCTCCTGTATCCTGTTATTATTGTAAAAGTTCAATAAAATTTAATAAAAAAAAACAAAAAAAAAACAGAGCAAAGAGTCAGAATGCATTAGCTATCAACAAAACTATGACAAATATTCCATAATATATAGACACTTACAGATCTAAAGAACTTAGAAATCCATTGAAAAGCACAAAAAAAAACCATATTCAAGTTCTCACCAGGACTTCATTTGTTGGCTTCGTAAGAGTTGGAAGAATCAAGACAGCATCTGCAGGGACCGCGCCAATTTCTCCTGTCCGCTCATTCTTACCCTTCAACCAGCCGCGGGCAACAGAAAACTCATCATCTTTAATGAGGAAGATGAGCTCTGCCTTCTTAAAGCTGAGAAATGTTCGAAACAAAAAAAAAACAGAGCAAAGAGTCAGAATGCATTAGCTATCAACAAAACTATGACAAATATTCCATAATATATAGACACTTACAGATCTAAAGAACTTAGAAATCCATTGAAAAGCACAAAAAAAAAACATATTCAAGTTCTCACCAGGACTTCATTTGTTGGCTTCGTAAGAGTTGGAAGAATCAAGACAGCATCTGCAGGGACCGCGCCAATTTCTCCTGTCCGCTCATTCTTACCCTTCAACCAGCCGCGGGCAACAGAAAACTCATCATCCTTAATGAGGTAGATGAGCTCTGCCTTCTTGAAGCTGAGAAATGTTTTATCATCTTGAAAAACATCCAAACCATTTTTCATTAGACAAAATCAAGTCAAATCATAGATCATGGACAATCAAATAAAAAATGTATACAGCATATTTCCTCTTCTGACCTTGTCTATTAACCTCCTGTAGGGTCACAGCATATTGTGAACGTTGTATCAGGCCTGCCAGGAACATGGCTACCAGATCTGAGATGTCAGTGGCCGTGATTGCATTCAGTGTGAAGTCTCCTTTCAGAGTCAGCAAACACACACATTTCCTTTCTCTGGAGGAGACGATACAAGGAGAATATAGGGAATTTACATATTTTTGGGAAGGTATCACTTATATTTATTTAATTAAAAAGATCATATTTTAACTTTGTGAATGACAAGACAACTTGATACAAAGCCGACAAACATTAACTGGTGTCCAACTCACCTGATAGCATTGACCCCGGTGAGCTCTGGGTAAGACAGCACCAGGAGATTCTTTTCTCGTTCATCTAGGAATGTTATTCCCATTGAATTAATGGCACAGATGAACTTGCTCTTTGGTAGAGAAGGACCTGAATATTGAAATGACAAATTGAATCTAGTTTATCAAATTGTATAAAGTTTTTGCTCATATTCTTCTGCAGTAGCTATGGAAATTATGTAATTTGCAATGTACATTACTGTTCAGAAAATTTGGGGCTCTCTTTTTCTTATCAAGCCTGTATTTGATATTTGATTTGACAGTAACATTGTGAAATATTATTACAATTTAAAGGGATAGTTCAGCCAAAAATGAAAATTCTGTCATTAATTACTCACCCTCATGTCATTCCAAACCTTGTTCATCTTCGGAACACAAATTAAGATATTTTTGATGAAATCCGAGAGCTTTCTGACCCTGCATAGACTGTAACATAACTACTACGTTCAAGGCCAAGAAAGGTAAAAAGGACATTGTTAAAATAGTCCATGTGACAGCAGTGGTACAACCGTAATTTTCTGAAGCTACAAGAATACTTTTTGTGTATATGAATGGTCTTACGGGTTTAGAATGACATGAGGGTGAATAATTAATGACAGAATTTTCATTTTCATTCATCACTATCCCTTTAAAATAACTTTTATATTTTAATTTATTGTAAAATGTCATTTATTCCTGTGATGGCAAAGCTGCTTTTCAGCAGCCATTATTCCAGTCTTCAGTGTCACATGATACTTCAGAAATCATTCTAATATGCTGATTTGGTAAACATTTTATATTATTATAAATGCTGAAAACCAATATGCTGCTTTGAAACCATTTTTCAGGATTCTCTGATGAATAGAAAGTTCAAATAAACATTTATTTATAAATTTGTAAAAACATTTTGTAACATTATAATTGTCTTTTCTGTCATTTTTTTATAGTTAAAAGTATTTAATGTACTAATTTCTTTCAAAAATCTTACTGAACCCAAATTTTGAACAGTAGTGTAATACTCATCTTAGCATGTAGTACATACCAGATAACTTGGCAACTTCAAAAAACTTGGAGAAGAGCATTGGCCACTTTTGACGAGCATAATCAACCACCTCTGCTTTGACTTTATCAGACTTGGTCCGAGTGTTTATTAATGGGCCCTTACAAAAAGAGACCAATGCTTGTAAAATGCTTTGACTTTCAAACAGGTGGAAAAATGTATTACATTTATTTTAACATAAGCAATAATAGAAACATCTGTACCTGCGCATGTGCTGTGTTGACCATCTGGGTCCACTTTTCTTCTGACTTGGCCTCCAGTAGTTTGGAGTTAATGCACTCCTTAACTACAGTCCTGGTATTCTCCATACTCATGTCTGATCCAAACTGCACATAGAAGTGCTTTGCTGCAAGCGCAACAGTGTCTTCCTCCTGATACAAACACAAAGGTGAAATGCCATAGAATGAATGACATGATGTGGTCCCCTACTGTGGGATAAGATCACATGATCAGCAAAAAATTACTAATTTTATCTCAATAAACCCTTTTATTGGACTCTTTCACCCACTGGATAAAGTAATCATGGCTGACTATGAATAAAACAATTCTACAATGGCATTGGTAACGGGAAACTATTAAATTGGCTTGATGCTGAAGTCCATGATGACTGCCGTTTTAATCAGCACAACATATGAACATTCACTGAATACACCTTTAAAAAACTGTGAGATAACTGCCAAAAAATAAGTACAAATAAATAAATTAAAGGCATAGTCCACCCAAAATGAAAATTCTGTCAACATTTATTATCCCTGAAGTCATTCCAAACCTGTATGACTTTCTTTCTTCAGTGGAACACAAAAGAAGGTATTTTGAAGAATGTTGGTAACCAAACGGTTTAGGGTCCTATTGACTTCCATAGTATTTTTCTCTTGAGTCAATAAATCTATTGAAGTCAATGGGACCCGAAATCGTTTGGTTGACATCATTCTTCAAAATACCTTCTTTTGTGTTCCACAGAAGACAGGAAGTCATACAAGTTTTGAATGACATGAGGGGGAGTAAATGATGACAGAATTTTCACTTTTGGGTCAACTGATACTAAAAATGGTCTTAAGCACACCTTCTCACACTGGTATTCTCCATATTTCAGGCCTCTGATGACCTGTCTGTAGATAATGTCTGTGCTGACGTTATCCTGGCTGCAGTCATGCCAAGGTGTGAAGATCTCTTTACGGAAGAAGAGACGCCAAGGGGCATGTTGCTCCTGCCCACCCTTCCTCTTCACTTCCTGCTCACACTGAGAGATGGCATCCATCACATGCTCACGGCCACTTCCTAGGGACCACACCTAAAAAGAGGGAGCACAATATCATGTCTTAAATTCTAATAATATGGAAAATCTGACTCAAACTCTTAATTCCAGTGCGAAAGCTTCATACCTTGTCATATAAAGCTACGTAAAGTGAGAAGCCAAATGTGTCCTGAAGTTTGACTTTCTGTGAGAGCATTTGGCAGACCTCTTTAGATGTTGTGGCAGAATCTACAGGCAAACTGATAGTCCTGCCATCCATCATAGTTACTGAGATGACAATGGGTTTCTTGGACTTGGTGGCCTGTGATTAAACAGTGAGGGCATGAATTATAGTTTCAAATCTATGGTAGATGGTAGTTACTGGACCATAGGAGAATAAAGACCTAAGGGGTTTCACACATACAGCAATAATGCAACAGAAGTCATTACTTTCAATGAGCTGCCCATCATTATGAAGCGTTTCATTTTATCTAAATGAGCAGTAGCATTGGAGACACTGGAACACACATGATCCATTTCCTGAAAGCATTATTTACAAATCATTTCCCTTTCATTTTAAACAGGAAGAAAACTGATTCCTTGTCCAAACTGATATCTCATTGTTAGCAGCAACGATTTAGAAAAGCTATGGCAGGTTGTTCAGTCCAAAAACACTGTATTTCTCTATGGGGCATAAATGTCTTTACCTGGAGCTCCAGCCAGCAGGGAGGCTCTCCACGCACTCCATTGGCAACAGTGCGCCTCAGTCGGTCGGCGCAGTAAGGCGCGTATCCCACAGGACCAAAACGAAGAAAACTTTTCAGGTACTGTGAGGAGATGAGACGACACATTCAGGATTACACAATGTGGAGACAACTTCAAATGTATTACCCCATAAAGAAATAGTCAAATCATGCATCAAAGAGTTTAATAAGGAAGACGGTCCTTTATTCACCTTGATGAAGCGCTCGGTAGGAGGAAAAATGCCCAAACAGATGCACAGGAGGATCCAGCCACGGAAGAAGCTGCCACGGTTTGAGTTCTCTTGGAGCTGCTTACAGATCTGGCAGTAGATTTCATCCCTAACAATAAGAGATATTAAAGACTTAGAAGCAGAAACATCTGACCACTAAGCAATAGATGACTTATGGTTTGAAATAATTAACAACCTGAGGTCACGTCTGACAATGGCATATCCAACAATGATATGTAACTTTTCAAGAGATGTCATTGGCCGGTCCAGGGTGAGTCCGTCTGTGTTCATTTCATCTTCTTCACTAATAGTTTGCACAGTGGGTTGTTTGGAAACTTCAGTCCCATCCTCTGCCTTTACATGAAGAGTTTATGGGAATTATAAAAATTATAAATCATTCATCTGATTGTTGCATTTAAGATATGTTGTAATAATCAGGGATGCAAACTCATCATGGGTGAAAAAGGTGACAAATATTTTTGAACTGTACTGAAGCAGTATATCAAGTACAATAATGCATTAAATATTTACATAAAGTATTTTTAGATTTAATTTAAAAACTACATTTTTTTAAACATTGCCTTTAGAAGGACACCTCAAAAAGAATGTTTTAACTGTAGAAGCTGCTAAATATATTCAGCCAACACAGACTTTTTGCTGTTATAGTTTTGTTACTCTGAATTTACTCTGCATCACTTAATGCACAGGTCTATTTTTGACATCGGTTTGTCAGATATATCATTCCGCCCAGGGCAGTTTTCACTGTCAATCATAGCAATGACTAACGGAACAATTTAGTGGATTCACTCGTTGATTTTTTACACTCGCGTTTGTCACTCTTGAAACAGTATACGTGGACGTTCGGTCCTCTTAGACAAACAAAACTTTTCTTCAAATTGTCAATGGATTATGTAGAGATTCTAGAGAAATGGAGCAAAGCTCTTACAGCGCAACTGACCAAGCTTACTCAAGCGAAAACTCCTGATAAATCAATGACTAACTACACAATCAATCTCTTATTTACACCGTGTGTATGCGTTTTTTCTTTCTCTGATTATATTAGGTAGATCTTCAAGCGTGTAGAACTCTGTAAACTTACGAAAACAAAAATTAGTTCAGAGGGGATTCTTCTGATTAACCTACAGAAAACACATTTGACTGGCCGTTGCTTTCAACAGAGATGCATGTGATTGGCTACAATACTCAATGTTGCAAAAACACGTAAATAAACTTGTGGTTTCGTAATTTGAAACCAGAGCATGCACAGGACACACACAGGAGCGTTTAAAAGTGGTTGACTACAACTAATGGAACTGTAAAAAGACCCCCCTCCCACCACCACCAAAAACACTTTCTCATTGGATCTACACAAATCTCGTAGGTGACCTATTATGATCTCAAAAAGGTGAGTTTTCACCGAAAGGTGAGGAGTTTGCATCTATGAATAATACAGTAATGTATTAGCTTTAAATAATTGTTTTAATATTGACAAATAAGAAAAGGAATAAAGACATCATGTCAAAGGTTCTTAGAAATGTATTCATGTTGGTTTCATATGGTTCTGTAAAACTTTCATACGATTTTCAAGAATGGCTTCAATATTCTCAATACTCTAAAAATGTGCTAAAACCATCAAGAAAAAAGTAACATTTTTATTACACCTAAATACGTGAGACTGCACATATTTGAACTCTATTTTCAAGATAAAAGTCCTGACTTTTTTATGACATTTTACAACCTGAAATAAACTTGTCTTGTATTAAACAGGTCAAATTATTTGATATTTTATAAGAATAAATGACCTTAAGAAATAGTATAAATTAATAATTTTTTTTACAAAAATATATATATTACTTTCCTATTTACTCATTTAATGAATCAAAATGAACAGATAATGAGTGTCACATCATTGACCAATTTGCAACATTTCTGTCTCACCTCTTCTGCTATAACAGATGGTTTTCTACTGGTTCTTCTGTTGGATTGAGGCCCCTCAGGAGCTGTGGGGATCCTTCTGTTTCGGGACATTATATCAGTGAAAGTTGAAGTCTTTCTGTTTCTTGGACCCTGCTCAGGTATGGCAGACAGTTTGCGGCTTGGAACACCATCATCTTGGACAGATTTTTTGTTCCGGGCCAGTAAGTCTGTAAAAGTTGACGATTTTCTGTTGCGGGAAGCGTCTTCTGGAACTGTACTGAGTTTCCTGTTCGGAGTGTTTCTTGTATTTTTCATTCTCTGAAATAATGAGACATCAACACTTTCAGAAAAGGCTGCATTCCAAGAAAAGACTGCAGGATTTCTCTTCTTCTTTTTTTGAGTTGCTGAGCTGGTATCCCAGCATGTCCAAGTTGTTTTTTTGCTGGCCAGCCAGCTAGTTTGACCCGCTGTTTTTTTTTTTTTTTTCAGCTGTAAAATATGTAATAAAAAGGTGCTTCCTCACCTGGTCCAGGCCCACCATATGGCTGAGGCGTCTATCCTGTCTGGAGGCCACATCCTTCTGAAGAGAGCCTTCTGCAAAGGCTGGTCTACTTCTAGAGACCCCCTGAGCCTTTGGTTCAGGAAGGTCACCCATAAATCTCAAGATCATCCACCAAACTGTTAGTGAAGCCTGTGGAGAAGAAGAGAAGAGCAGTAGTAAGCACTTATTGTTAATGTGACACATCAGAAGAACATCATAAATCAACCAAAAGCTGGTCAAAGACAAAGGTGGCTTTACCAGGACATCATTCTCGTCCTCATGGTAGAGCAGAGGCTGTTGTAATCTCTGGCGAATGTGTGTGGGTGTGGCAGTGCCCTGGAAGTACATGGAAGCAAACTTGGAGAACGAGTACTCATCCAAATCATCATAGTCTTCCTCTGGAATCGCCATCATTGGAGCCTCATCCAGATCCACCTCTTCAAGCACCGCTCGTTTTCCCTCGAAGTCCTAAAAACACAACGTTTCCAGGCAGTTTTTGGTTTTAATGTTATTGTTATCCAAACATTAACATTGTGCTTTTTTTTGAGAAGTTTGATCTCTCACCTCAAAGCCCACAGGTGCCTGGCCCTCCTGTCCGCCAACCATGCTAGGCAAGAAGCCAAAGATATCATCCACCATTTCCTGGTCTGTGATGGATTCCAACTGGTCAGCCGACTCTCTTTCTTTTTTCTGCCGCAGAATTTCATCAAGCCTCCTTTGCCTCTCTAGAGCAGCAAGTTCTTCTGCTCTACGTTCCTGAAGCGAGAGGGAAGCCTGCAAACAACAGAGACAGCAACAGATGAAGATGACACGTAGCCTGAGCTATTTAGCAAACTGTCTTCTAAACATGGTGATTCTATCCATCAGAAAACTTCCTACATCTCTCTTCATCTTCTTGACAGCTTTTCTGGCTAGAGTTCCTCTGGTGTGAGCCTGCAGGAGTATCACTGCCGCTCTCTTCCGTTTCCACTCCTTCCTCATCAGGAAGCCACGAGTCTGAGCCTGAAGCAGAATAGTTGCTTGTCGCTTCCGTTTATACTGCCAGGTCATCTGACGAGAGCGTACTTGAGCCCGCAGACGGGCAAAACCCAACTGGACCTGCAGAAAGGCAAGTGACACTCTACATACATGTACAAGCAATGACTATCAACATTTAGAATCTGTCAGTCTGCAGTTAGAGGACAACATACCACTCTGTAAAGTTTTCTGACTTTGTGTCCTCGCCAGGTTTTCTGTATGGTCACAGCTGCGCTTTTCTTTCTCAGGAATACTTTCCTGCAAGAAAACAAAATGGCAACTGATAAACCAATGTGTGAAATTTTTCTCTGCAAACGTAGGAGATTGTCCTCAGTCTTTTACCTGTGTTTATATCCTCTCAGGACTCTCTGAATAACAAGTGCCTTCTTATTGAGAGCCCTGTCTCGTGCCAGTTCCAAAACAGTATCATGGAAATCCTGATGCAAAAAAAGAATCACGTTAGAATGGATCTACTTTAAAAATGCTGTAATGGTACCTGTAAAATTCACCTCAGTACCTTCAGAAACACTTTAGTCTTGCCGATCTTCCAGTCCTCTTCAGTCAGAACGTTCTCACAGATGCTTTCACAGCATTTCTTGGCACTCTCCTTTAATATTACAGTAAATATTAAAATTAATGGGTGCAATAATGCAAAAAAAGTACTTCTTTATGCTTTTAATTTGCATTTTTTACTCACTTTCCATCTAAACAAATATTGAAACAAGATAAATTTACTTGAGAAGCATATTTAGGCTTATTTAGAAGAACATATATTGAATATTCTTTAATACAAATGTATTTTGTCTTATGGAAAAATACATTGGCGCACTTATAAAAGTGCTCTAAAAGATTTTAGCCATTTTGCTACTGAATTGGCTCACCCACATCCACAAAACACTGCAATAAAAAAAAAATTTTTGTCAGCAAATCCCAACAACGCAGAAAGGAAACTGAAAATCAAGACAGAAATACTCTTAGGTACCACATAAAACGATCTTACTACAAACATGTGATCACGGAAATGAGCCCTGAAGTCTGCAAACAACAACAAAAGAGTGGCTTTTTTTAAGCCAAAAAAGTATCCTTTTTTAAGCCAACGAGAGGGCGCTCTTTGCCTCTCTGCTCTTTATATGCTGATGTTTGCTGATATAGTGTTGGCTGTTGGCTATAGTGTCTTTTCGGAGGGTTGAGGATGGGGTTTTGGTGGCCATTGATGTGGCTGGTCTAATTCAGACTAACTGTGTCAAACAAGCAAAACAGCTAAAATCGCTTATAGAACCTTCAAAACCTGTTCCAATGTATATTACAGAAACCACTGCAACACTTAATTCATATCAAACAACACAGAATCATCTCTCACAGTTTTGGGGTCACAAACACTGGACTTGAGAAGCACACGGTAACGCTCTAGAAACTCATCAAATGTGTGACGGATGGGATAGCCAGCCTTCCTAATGCGGATAGTCTCCATCATTCCAGAGTAACGAAGTTGACGGATACACAGTTCCCTGTCAAAGAGCTGAAACAAAGACGGAAAAGTGGGTCACTGAGAGAAAAGTGGGTCAATGGACAGAGAAAAAGAACTGAACTTACCATAGGTTTCTTGAAGTCATTGGGTTTAATACAGCGAATAAAGAAAGGCTGGCAGGCAGTTAGAGTCTTCATTAAAGAGTCCAGTGACTGACGAAACTGCCCACATAATGTAGGCACACGTTTCTTTGAGTCTGTTGTTTGCTGAAGGAATAGCAAATCAAAGGTAAAGCAAATGAAAATCCTTTTATCAGGTTGAATCGGCAGAAGAGTGGAAGTTTTTTAGTATTAATGACCTAAATGCCAGTGTACAACAAATGTTTGTACACTATTTGCCTTTAGCTGGTGTTAACATACCCGGAGTGAGTTTTTTGGGGTGACGATAGTGTGGTTGGAACTAGTTTTCGCCTCTGTGGTGCTGAGCTCATTGTGAAATATCTGCTTTAGTAGCTTATTGGATGATGTGTGTATCAGCTGGATAACATCATTGCTCAGAGTATCTCTGTTCTTCTCAAGGAAACCTATATGCACAGTAAATTTCATAAAACATTTTAGATATTTTTAAATCCAAAAACTAATGTGAAAGTACATTGTGAGGAACTTTGATAGCCTATATTACCTTTGCAGTCATAGTAGACGACTCCAGCAAAATGCCGGATTCCAAACTGTGTGTCGTGATTGTTTTTGGGGGGCATGTAGATGCCACCCTTCACATGAACCTGATTCATTTTGTTAAGCATTGTAGCATCTGTGCCCTGGAGAAAATTACAATTGTTCATAATTGTATATAAATATGTATAGATTGTAATTACAGAAATGCAGTTTTGAGATATCAGCAGTCACACATTGCCTGATTATGAATTATCAAAGAAAGCCTATATGGTAAATAAAAGCAAATATATTTTAGAACCTTAGGAAAGAGACTCTCTTCATCAATAAGAGCGAGAACGTTGAGAGGCTTTATGGCCAGAACATCAAGCGTACACTGGTTGTCGTTAAATTCAATGTTGTTCCAGACGATGTTTTCGCGGGTGTATTCCTGTTGTTCAAGCTTGAAGACATGTTTCACAAAGAACTGCTGAAGCTGCTCATTGGCAAAGTTGATGCAGAGCTGTTCAAAGCTGCAGGAATCACAGACAAGATTAAGATCAAAGATTCTATCAAAGACTATAGAATGCCCAATAGGGATGTGCATCTCATGACTCAGGCCGATACAATACGCATCTCCATGCGTAGCCAATGATACGATACATTAAAGATACATATGAAGCAGCTACCGATGCGATACGATTCACCCGTTATGATGCAGTGCGATCCGATTTCGATTCGATTCAACACAATGCGATTCGATGCAATATGATGCAATGGAGAAAATATGATCACTTTTAATGCCTCGAGGCCTGTTTCATAAAACAAGTTAACCAAATAAGCCAGGTTTATTTCATTTAGTCGGACTCATTGTCAAATGATTTGGTTCCATAAAGCAAATTTAACATGGGCCTAGATCAAGCTTAGTCACTGTGGCAACTTATGCTGGGAAACTAACCTGGTCTAAAGCAGGCTAACTGTAGGGATGGGTGTATCAAGCCGAAGTATCGATATATCGATACTGACGCGAGTATCGAAAGTACCGATACTCAAACAAAAATATAGATACTAAGGTGCGTTTTATTTACCAGTGGTTTTGTTTATTTAACAAAAATAATAATAATAATAATGCGTACAATATACATTGAATTGGACGAATAACCTTTGTTAGCGAGTAATTGTGTAGGATAGAACTATTTTCCTGCTCATCTGAACACACGCAAATGTTGACCAGACCTCAGTCTACTGTACTACAGTCTAGTACAGTAGACGGAACACCTGCTCATCTGAACACACGCAAATGTTGCAAGACAGAACCAATCCATCACAGAGAGCATTCACTCACTTCTGACAGTGCATTCAAACAGGGCTGCGTTTCCCAAAAGTATCATAAGAAAGCATTAAAGCTTTTGGGAATGGCAGCCCTGAACAATGCTTATCAGAGGACAGAAAAAACATAAATGTTTGAGTTATTTCACAATAAACAAATTGAAATAGTAGCCTACATAGTTTGTGCAATTACAATCGCATCTCCATGCGTAGCCAATGATACGATACATTAAAGATACATATGAAGCAGCTACCGATGCGATACGATTCACCCGTTATGATGCAGTGCGATCCGATTTCGATTCGATTCAACACAATGCGATTCGATGCAATATGATGCAATGGAGAAAATATGATCACTTTTAATGCCTCGAGGCCTGTTTCATAAAACAAGTTAACCAAATAAGCCAGGTTTATTTCATTTAGTCGGACTCATTGTCAAATGATTTGGTTCCATAAAGCAAATTTAACATGGGCCTAGATCAAGCTTAGTCACTGTGGCAACTTATGCTGGGAAACTAACCTGGTCTAAAGCAGGCTAACTGTAGGGATGGGTGTATCAAGCCGAAGTATCGATATATCGATACTGACGCGAGTATCGAAAGTACCGATACTCAAACAAAAATATAGATACTAAGGTGCGTTTTATTTACCAGTGGTTTTGTTTATTTAACAAAAAAATATATATAATAATAATGCGTGCATTATGCATTGAATTGGATGAATAACCTTTGTTAGCGAGTAATTGTGTAGGATAGAACTATTTTCCTGCTCATCTGAACACACGCAAATGTTGACCAGACCTCAGTCTACTGTACTACAGTCTAGTACAGTAGACTGAACACCTGCTCATCTGAACACACGCAAATGTTGCAAGATAGAACCAATCCATCACAGAGAGCATTCACTCACTTCTGACAGTGCATTCAAACAGGGCTGCGTTTCCCAAAAGTATCATAAGAAAGCATTAAAGCTTTTGGGAATGGCAGCCCTGAACAATGCTTATCAGAGGACAGAAAAAACATAAATGTTTGAGTTATTTCACAATAAACAAATTGAAATTGTAGCCTACATAGTTTGTGCAATTACAATTATTTAAATTGAACGTTGAAAGATAATATTGATCATGTTCTATTCTGTAATGTTAATAGAAATCATACACTGTCCGAATAAAAAGGTTGCATTTTATGCATGCAACAGCCATTCACTGGCAGTCCCTAATGGCAGTACAAAATATTGCACTTAATCAAAAGTTCAAATGTTACAAATAAATTAGAATATTAATGTTGTAATACTGGTAGCACTAATATAAAAATGTGATGATATACGTTACAAAAAAGTAACAATTTTGAAATACGTTGATGTATGTATTTGTTGTATTTGATCTCAGTATCCTATCAATGTTGTATAAGGGTTTTTTATGCATAATAGTAACCCTAGAATGTGATCAACAATTTAAAATAGCTGGGCTAATATATATAACAATTTTTAAGACTGCAGAAATATGTTAATTCAGTATACACATTATCTCGCCGGTAACAATTGTGATTGACCTTAAAATACAAATTTTCACACACTTTTCCCAAAAATAAAAAAAATTAATTATTGATTATTTCAAAGGGTTACTAATGGCACATCATTTGGATATTTTCATGTCTGGGAAAAATTTGGGATTAAACGGGTTAAAATGCCATCCCTAACGCTCAATATGGCCGCTCTATCGCTGGAAGCCCTGGCTTCTGAGCAAAAGGGCCAATCGCTAATCTGTAAAGTCAGCGCGTCACTGCAGCTGCCATTAGAAGTCCCGGTTGCTATAGAAACAGTAGTGTTCTGAGACGTGCATTTAGGACTGCGCATGCGCACTGGCTGATCTAGCCTGAGAAATTACCTTTTTCCAATGCTATTTGAGCAAAAGAATCTACATTTATGAGACGGTTGTTGTCAGATTTTATTGGTGATTTCAAATATGAAATTTAATCTTAAAATGGGCGACCAGTTTTGGAGAATTTGATGTTTCCCCATTCAAAGAGATGGGAGCTGCACTTTCATTGCATGCCTGAGAGGCATTTCAAAGATGGCTGCCGAGTGACATGACTTGCCTTAAAGGGAATTTGGTAATATCTATCATGAGATCTACAGCGAGAAGGAGTATGATTTTCAGAGAACAACAACTTTTATTTTGGTCTGTTTTTCACACCACTATCATATGGCCAGAGGGTGGAAAGTCCAGGGGTCAGAAGTAAAAGTCCTGTCATATGTTTATTCTAGTCAGTCTCCATTCATTTTCATTAAAAGAAGAAGAGCAGGTTAGATAGTCTTCAAAAATCCATGTTTTGTGTTCCACAAAAGGTTTGTAATTACATGAAAGACGACATGCATATATGACAAACCTGTTGTTGTTGAAGTTTTCAAAGCCAAAAATGTCCAACAAACCAATCGAAAGTCGGACATGTTTGGGGTCATCAGGAGGAGGTTTGTAAATGGCACTGTTGATTTTCTCAACAATCCACACAAACAGCCTTCCATAGATGGCCTGCACACAGAGAAGATCAGAACTCTATACTGGAGTATATTAGATCTGAAATGAAACCGTAATTGAAACTACATTCAGTTGCACAACCTTTACAAAGGCATTTCTGCCATCCACTGCTTGTGCTGAGGTCAGAGGTTTAGACACACTCTCCCTGTTAGTCATCAAAGAGCGTTGTGTCAAGCTCACATCCAGGGCATTTGGGGACACCTGCAAAAAATTCAGATCTATGGACTTGAGTGTGCTGCTCGGAGACAAAATTGGTTTCTAAAATATGTATTTTTTTAATTACCTCTAATAACTGTGCAGCCATTTTGAAATGTGTAGAAGAGAGAACATCACAGCTCTCAAGGTTGTTCATAATGGTTTCTTAAATATTGAAAATGGAAATAAAGCTCAAATAAGCATTCCCTCTAAAAAAACAGAAAGTTTTGCTCTAGTTTATGTCTCTTTATGACTACTCACCTTCAAAGTCTACATTCCCCAGGTGTAGGATGGCAGCAAGAAGCTTGTTAATTTCCCACGTGTCATTCTCTGTGAATGTCAGGATCTTCATTGCTGAACGGAAGCTGGCATACTCTTTTATGTCGTCCCGTCCTTCGCATGAAGTGCACTGACCCTATAAGCCAACATAATCATGTTTAATGTAACGATGCTTAGAAGGATAGTTTACCCAAAAATGAAAAGGAAAATGTTTTAATTATTCATCATCATTTCATTGCTCACCTGAGTTTCTTTTAAGGAACACAAAAGAACTTTGAGGGTCCAAACCACACTGATTTTCATTTACAACAGCACTGAAGCATATTTCAAAATATCTTCTTTTGTGTTGCACGACTATCACTTTGATGTCAATTTATCCTACCTGTGCATTCTCACTCCAAAATGACTTTAGTGTAACAAATGTAAAATACACATAGAAAGTGGGAGCATGGAGTTTATGATGATCAGTACCATGGTGAGATAGTTGTATTCTGCAGCATGTCCCAAAGACAGGATCTTCTTTTGGTCAGGAGGCATTCCCATGAGCATGCAGTAAAAGATGTGGTAGTTTCTCTCTTGTGGGGCCTGTGCCAAAAAATGCTATTATTTATTTGGCAAATAAGCAGTTCTACATTTATTTTGCTGTATCTTCACCTGAAAGATTTCACATTATACAGTCTAATTATAATCTCATATGGTTTCCTATAATCTCGGATGGTTTACCTGTTGACAAACACGTGATTTCTCGAGTAGGTACTGTTCAAAGCGGGCCCCCTCGATTGCTCCATTTTTATTGAAGTGGATGTCAATATATTTTCCAAAGCGGCTGGAGTTGTCATTGCGGATGGTCTTTGCATTACCAAAAGCTACAAAATAAGACTTGATGTAAATACTGAATTGCTTATCTGAGGAATTATAGTTGAGTGATGCAGGAGCATCCTATATGTTTCTTCATAAACATCCATACCTTCTAAGATAGGGTTGGCTTCTAGAATCTGCTGCTCAATCCAGGAGCGCTGCCCACTCACTGCCGCAAGAAACTGCAGCATGAGTTTTGTACTCTCTGTTTTTCCTGCTCCGGACTCCCCACTGACAAACACAACACATACAGACACTCTCAGAACACATCAAACAGATAATGCTAACAGAATGTATGACAGATGTTGGAGTTGCCAACATACAGGTCCAGTTTTTTCTGGGTGTTTGTACAGCTGCCTGTAATACATAAAACCTGCAGTTTACAGTACAATACTGCTATGAGCTTAAACAGTTCACTCTATAATGAATACTAAGTTAGTTTCAAACCCTTCAAAAGGTACACTTTTTAAGAATATTCAGGCCACTTTTTCAATATAATGAAATAGAGCATTCAAAAATGCAACAAAAAGCAAAATAAGCATCATAAAAAGTGGTTGAAATGTAAAGAAATAGAAATTTACGTGGTTATTTACTGATAATGTTTGCATCTACAGATGCTTTGAAATGGGCTACAAAAGGGTTTAGTACACAAGTCATACAGACCATTTTATATTAATTGTATATTACTTTTTATCATTTGTGATACTTTATACAGAATATCCTTTATTAGATGATCAACATTTTACTGAATGTTGTGAATTAAACCATTAACATTAATAACATTAATGACACGGTGAATCATCAGATCCTCCTGTCCACCCTCTCATCACTAGGCATCACAGGGATTCCACTTTGCTGGTTTGAATCCTATCTCACTGGCAGGTATTTTAGGGTGGCCTGGGGTGGGGAGGTATCCAAAGCACATCATCTGGTCACTGGGGTTTCCTCAGGGATCAGTTCTTGGACCCCTCCTCTTCTCCATATACACTACATCACTGGGCCCCATCATACAGGCACATGGTTTCTCCTACCATTGCTGTGCTGATGACACACAGCTCTATCTCTCATTTCAACCAGATGATCCAATGGTAGCTGCATGGATCTCAGGCTGCCTGGCGGACATCTCGGCATGGATGAAAGAACATCAGCTCAACCTGGCAAAGACTGGGCTTCTTGTCTTCCCGGCCACTCCAAATCTACAGCATGACTTCACCATCCAGTTAGGTTCATCAACAATTACCCCATCAAGTTCGGTCAGAAATCTTGGTGTAATCTTTGATGACCAGCTGACTTTCAAAGACCACATTGCAAAAACTGCTAGATCTTGTAGGTTTGCATTGCAAAACATCAGAAAGATCAGGCCCTTCCTAACGGAGCATGCTGCACAACTTCTTGTCCAGGCCGTTGTCATTTCTAGGCTGGACTACTGCAATGCTCTTCTGGCTGGACTTCCATCATGCACAATCAAACCTCTACAAATGATTCAGAATGCAGCGGCACGACTGGTCTTTAACGAGCCCACATCACACCTCTCTTTATATCTCCTTGCACTGGCTGCCGGTTATGGCTCACATCAAGTTCAAGACACTGATGCTTGCATATAGCCTCAGCCTCAGGCTCAGCACCCGCCTACTTCCACTCATTCTTACGAATCTACATCCCATCCAGAAGTCTGAGATCCACTAGTGAGCGACACCTCGTGGTACCATCACAAAGAGGCACAAAATCACTTTCTAGAACATTTTCGTTTACCGTTCCTTGCTGGTGGGATGTTGTTCCAACCCCTATCTGGAATGCTGATTACCTGACATTTTTCAAGCGACAGCTGAAAACTCACCTCTTTCGTCACTATCTGACTTCATCCTTCATCAAAAAAAAAAGTCTCTTTTTTTCATATTTTCTGTCTAGCTTGTACTTATTTGAACAATGCTTGAAACTTGGTATGACAAGCACTTCCTGTCTATTTGCCTCTTTAAGATGAATCGCTTGATGTTTTCCCCAATTGTAAGTCGCTTCAGATAAAAGTGTCTGCTAAATGAATAAATGTAAATGTAAATAAATTGTCAAATCAAGATAAGAATAAAGAAAGTCAGATGGGTTTGCAATGACAGGAGTAAATGGTGTCAGATTTTTGTACAAAACCAAAAAGTTTTCAAATCAAACTACAATATGTCAGTTTCAGCCAAGTATGAATGACTGAAGGAGCCTAAAAATGGTTGATTAACATTTTAGGGTGTGAATTAAACCATTAACATTAATAAATCATTAAATTAAGACAAGGATAAAAAAGTTAAATAGGTTTGCAATGACTTTACCATTTTTCTTCACAACCAAAATTTTAAAACTCAGAAAATCCTAACCTAACCCTAACTACAAAATGTCGGTTTCTCCCAAGTATGAATGACTGAAAGACCTATAATGGTTGATCAACATTTTAGGGTGTGAATTAAACCATTAACATTAATAAATCATTAAATTAAGACAAGGATAAAAAAGTTAAATGGGTTTGCAATGACTTTACCATTTTTCTTCACAACCAAAATTTTAAAACTCAGAAAATCCTAACCTAACCCTAACTACAAAATGTCGGTTTCTCCCAAGTATGAATGACTGAAAGACCTAATGATGCAGCACTGGTCTTTGCGGTTCCGTCGCATGTTGAAGAAACAGCTGTCTGCGATGGCAAAGACATGCGGGGGGAGATCACCCAACCGCCGGTCTGTGTACTGCTCCACCTGCTCTGGAGTGTAGATTGGCAGCAGCTGGTAAGGGTTCACTGCCACCAGAATCGAACCTGTGTATGTCTGTCAAAACAAACAAACAAAAAAGTTGTTTCAAGGTCTTTAAAAAAAGATTATAGAAAGTCCCTGAGATGAAAAACTATTAAGCTTTTGCAGTTGGAAGAATAATACATTTATAATAAGATCTACAGTATGCAATTGCTCAGTGCATGAACTGTCCTTTAATATAACTGGACTTCAGGGCGGAATGTTGGATTTACTGTAAAATGTGTACGTCAATGTTGTATAACTATATGATCCGCTCATCAAACTTGGAACTGGCTGTTTCTATAGAAACAATCTTGTTATTAAACAGGAAGAGCAAAGAACTGTTGGTGAATGAACTGAAGTTGGTGAATTAAGTGGACAATTTATTCCCTATTTTGGTCATTTTAGGTTCACAGATCTTGAAAACTGGTATTTTAAATCATATATTTAAATGTATCCATAATCTAAAGTGGCGGTTAAAAACTCACATAGATTGCTCCTTCTTTGTAGCGCACTAGAAGGTTCCGTAACAGTCCAGCCTCATTTAGGTCACCCAGCCTTATCATATCATCCACACCGTTCACTGAGGTGGGATGCATGGGCTTCAGGGAGTTGTCCTTTTTAATCTTGTGCTCCTGGAAATCATGCCATAGAAGACATCAGCTACACTTCTACAGTCAAAAGCAGCAGTTACCTAAGACTGCCTGCATTTATATTACCTTTCCCTCATCGTCGATGAGCTGAAGTTGCCCAGTGTCTGAAAGTCTGACTTCAGCTCCGATTTGGACCCCATTACTGCAGTCCACCCACACATAGTCTCCCTAAAGTGGTTGATCGATATTATAAATTAAACTGTTAACATTAATAACTGTGTATACTAAATAAAGACAAAGGAACTGATGATAGTATACTTGACTTTAAAACTTCTTTAAGACAAAATGTTCATACTATGCCGACTTTCTGAACATGGACCATGGTAATGTCATATTATCCTAACTTGGAATACCATGTACCATGGTATGATTACAGCAATTATGCTGTACCATTTTATTTATACATACATATATCAAACAATCGTGGTATTGGTACAGTACTTCGATATTTGCTCAACCCTAAACTAAAGGACAAATCGTGATTAGATAAATCTACGGCATTATAGTCCATACAGTCCAGGTTTACACATTAAATACAAATAAATCACATCTAATCTTGTTTGTTGAACTCTAGGTCCTACATTACAGGCCTAGAAACTGCATGTATGTTTACTGAATACAATTTTGAACATTCATTTGTATTCATGTTAACTATAATTTAATATCAAATTAACCTAGAATAAAAAGTATCATGGTAACGCCACAGTAATTTCTGTATCCAAATACCTTCCTTAACACCACCATGACTGAATCCTTTTGTCCCCCAGCCTAAATAATAGAACAAAGGATACATTTTAGAATCAAATCTCGCCAAGAAAAATTAATTAGTGGAGATTATGAACAAAGGCAAAATGGCGTCTAACAAACACGTACACATTTCCTGAAGTACAATACAAGAGTTTGATCTATTTATGTATAACAAAACCAAACCATTGAAACCATAAGAAATCCAATGTGAGCTACCTTTACTGGTCGATATTTGATGAAGTCTCCTGATCTATGAGTATTTTTTTGTCGCTCTTCTTTGAAGCCAGAACAGATCCCCACAGTGTGAGTGTTCAGCCAAAAGAAATGACCTCAGGTGCCGGCTCAGGAACAACAGGTGTTTATGATACTTTGACTTTGCACCCTGACTACCACATCCATAATGATAAACACAAGAAAGCTCTGTACTCCAAATCAGGACAAAAATAAAAAAAAGCTGTTATTAGAAGATGGTATAAATACCACAAAGCACACCAGAGAATATTAAGAAAATAAAGCTTCAAGATACAATGTCTTTTACAGTAAACGCTAGTAAAATTGCAACAGAAAGGCAGTCTGCATAGACACACTAGTGATGTAAATATCAATCTACAGAACAAAACTAAGACAGATGAAGAAATAAATACAATATTACTAATCTGAACATTTTCAGTTTTACATAATGCTTTTTTCTTTTTCACAGTAAAGTGCAGAACCTTTGGACCCGCGTGACAACATACGGAGGGCTGAGCTCTGATCATAAGAGGGCAATCAAGTTGTAAATAGCATAGTGTCATAGTTACCCAGGGTGGAGCCATTCTGGAAAGTCATATTTCCATCGGGCAATACTAAACTTCATTGCAGGAACTCACAGTGATTAGAGGTTATGTGGTGTGGTGTTTTCAGGTCACAGGCAGTTTATAAAACAGGTTCTTTCAACAGAGTCAATAGAATGAACCATGCACAGTATAAAGAATAAACAGAATAAACCTTATAGAGATTTTTAATGTATATCCTACATTATACTACAGAAAGAAATAAGATGAGATAAAATTGTTGGACTCTCACAATCAACGCAGGAATGCTTACTGTAATATTATTTTTTCACACCAAGAAAGTAATTGATTTGTTACACATTGTAGGAAATGCTAATAACAAAATTCAAATAATACTAAGCTATTTTAAGCTTGTTTGAAACATCAAACTGGTCTACTAACATCCTTGATTTAGTGTAATTCATAAAGACTACCAAGTAATTTTTGAAAATGGATGAAAATGGTAGACATTTTACGATCATCTTCAGAATATTAGAAACATATATTTGATCAATGTGGAAAATGAAAAGAGTACTAGTGAAAGAGCAGGCCAGATTTCCTGCTGCATATCTGACGTTTCATCGGTTCCGTTGAAAGAAAAAAAAAAAAAAAAGATCCCCAACAACTTCCTGGAGCTCAAATTGTACATACAGGTGCATCTCAATAAATTAGAATGTCGAGGAAAAGTTCATTTATTTCAGTAATTCAACTCAAATTGTGAAACTCGTGTATTAAATAATTTCAGTGCACACAGACTGAAGTGGTTTAAGTCTTTGGTTCTTTTGATTGTGATGATTTTGGCTCACATTTAACAAAAACCCACCAATTCACTATCTCAACAAATTAGAATATGGTGACATGCCAATCAGCTAATCAACTCAAAACACCGGCAAAGGTTTCCTGAGCCTTCAAAATGGTCTCTGTTTGGTTCACTAGGCTACACAATCATGGGGAAGACTGATGATCTGACAGTTGTCCAGAAGACAATCATTGACACCCTTCACAAGGAGGGTAAGCCACAAACATTCATTGCCAAAGAAGCTGGCTGTTCACAGAGTGCTGTATCCAAGCATGTTAACAGAAAGTTGAGTGGAAAGAAAAAGTGTGGAAGAAAAAGATGCACAACCAACTTCTAATTTGTTGAGATAGTGAATTGGTGGGTTTTTGTTAAATGTGAGCCAAAATCATCACAATTAAAAGAACCAAAGACTTAAACTACTTAGTCTGTGTGCATTGAATTTATTTAATACACGAGTTTCACAATTTGAGTTGAATTACTGAAATAAATGAAAAAAACTTTTCCACAACATTCTAATTTATTGAGATGCACCTGTAATGGCACTAACGACACAAAGGTGAGGGGTTTGATTCCCAGGGAAAGCAAGAACTAATAAAATATACTTTGAAAGCAACGCAAGTCACTTTGGATAAAAACATTTACAGCTGTGACTATATTCAAAATCTAAAATCGAACTTCTTAAGTTCTTTTATCTGTCTGTTCTTTTATCGGTCTTTTATCTATTTTAAGTCTGGTGAAGTGCATTAAGTATCAAATGTACTTTGTAAATGTATCCAGTTTTACTGCAGTAGCACATAATAGAGTACACACAGAAAAATAAAAGAATGAAAAAAAAAAGAATGTACAAAAAAACATCTCAATTATTATCCAAACTCAGAACAACATTATATCTGTAAAACAGCACAAAAAATGACTCGGTGAAAACCACTTCCACTAATCACTTCCATTAAGAACAATTTTCTTACACTGAAACATAAAAAATCCACACATTCTTATAATATAAATTCACATAATTATATGGATTCTTTCAAGTACACATTTCACTGCTTTGTACTATCATCAGTCACTATAGTGCTTGAATGTTTACAGTGATGAAAAAAACTAGAAGGGTTAGAGGGCATCATATCTGGTTAGTACAAGACTATTATATTTTCAGTGTGGACTTAATTTCTGGCTAATCTGGAAGCGATTAACTTTAACTTTTGTATTTCACACACAAAAAAAATCCCACAGTTTCGCCCATGTTACAAGGCACCAAAACATGGAAAGCTAGCATGCTAACATCTCCGGTGAGAATGTGCGCAGTGTGTACTTGGTGTGATTCAAACTAAATACAAAAGTTACATCTAGCAAACATGACCTTTCTGATCTTTAAAGTCCATTAGAGAAAAAGCATTGCCTCTACAACTAAAAAAAACTAAATAAGACAACAAAATGTTTCTTCTAAAATGGAATACTTAAGGAGAAAAACAAAAAGCATTGGCTAACCAGGCTGCCTCATAACCAATGGACAGTCTGACAGTCCACAGGAAGCAGCAGTTCCTGTAAAAACAGTTTGATTGTTTACGATCATCTTTCTCTCTCTTTGAGACTGTAAAAGTAAGTAGATGATTGTGCACAGCAACCTGATAAACCATGACAGGTCCAGCTTTTGAAGAGCATTCCTGTGTTCGACTATGCTGAAGGACAAAGATTAAGACCATGGAGTGGCATCTATGCCCGCTCCTTGCGCTTTAATTTGGAGCTCTTCTTGGGAGTTCCGTTCTTGTTGAGCAGCTTCAGAACTCTGTCCTTATGGTCCAGTACTTTCATCATGGTGTCGCGAGCTTCAGCCACCTGATCCATCACAAGCTTGCAGCGCTGCATGTTGCCCTGGACAGAGTCAGGTCAAAAGGTCATGAATGCATTTACAGTAAAGTTGTTATGGGTTTTGGGGAAGTTGTTAAATATGTGTGTCAAATTTTGCATCAAATTCAGGATTGTTATTAAAGGAGAAACAAAATTGTGTTCCATGTGTTGCATGTGACAATTCTTTGGTACTTTTGGTCTTTCTTAAAAAGATTGATGTTGGTCACCAGTCTCAATATATACAGTGGGTACGGAAAGTATTCAGACCCCCTTAAATTTTTCACTCTTTGTTATATTGCAGCCATTTGCTAAAATCATTTAAGTGCTAAAGCGTTACATTTTTCAAAAATTCTTCTTTTGTGGTCTGAAGGATATAAGAAGGTTGTGTAAAGTTAGAACCAGACCAGGGTGAGTAAATGATGACTTAATTTTAGGTGTTTAAAATATATATATTTTTTTAATGAATCGCTTGTTACTTAATAATGTTATAAATATTTTTATATTTTACATTTAAAGAGACCCTTATGTTCTGTTGCATTTTGTTTTCAGGTTAAAAAAAATTATGAATGCATAAGAGGAAGTGTACATTTTAGGTGCTAAATCAGGATTTCTCTTTCAAGCTGGGTTGGTATGGTGGCCCAATATTGCACAACACAATTAAATTACCACAACAAAATGAAATCACCACAGCACAACGCATAGGACTTATTTTGTTGTGTTGTGATAATTTTGCTGAGTTGTGGCTTGTTTCCATTGTGTTGTGCTAATTTTGTTGTGTTGTTGCGGCTTGTTTCCATTGTGTTGTGCTAATTTTGTTGTGTTGTTGCGGCTTGTTTCCATTGTGTTGTGCTAATTTTATTGTGTTGTTGCGGCTTGTTTCCATTGTGTTGTGCTAATTTTGTTGTGTTAATGTAGCTTGTTTGCATTGTGTTTTGCTAATTTTGTTGTGTTGTGCACTACTGGGCCACCATAGGTAGGTTTTGTTGAGATAATAACCTGTATGAGCTCATTGATGCGGTGCAGGTCATCTTCAGCTCCAGCTCTCTTCTTTGGGATGAGGCCTTCCTGCAGGGTGGTCAGCCGGCTGTACACATCATGCTCCAAGTTAGTCTGTGACCAAACAAGGAAGAAATTCATTAAAATGTTATCTATACGCAGCATTAACTGCATCAATAACGGGCTGTTAGCATAATAAGACCTAAAAATGTCTGTCCACCAACGTTTACCATCCAATCTGACAGAACTGGAGAGGATCTGCAAGGAGGGATGGCAGAGGATCCCCAAATCCAGGTGTGAACAACTTGTTGCATCTTTCCCAAAAAGACTCATGGCTGTATTCGATCAAAAGGGTGCTTCTACTAAATACTGAGCAAAGGGTCTGAATACTTAGGACCATGTGATATTTCAGTTTTTCTTTTTTAATAAATCTGCAAAAATGTCAACAATTCTGTGTTTTTCTGTCAATATGGGGTGCTGTGTGTACATTAATGAGGAAAAAAAATAACTTAAATGATTTTAGCAAATGGCTGCAATATAACAAAGAGTGAAAAATGTAAGGGGGTCTGAATACTTTCCGTACCCACTGTATATTATTTCATCTTCATTTAGTTTGCTGAAGTATTAAAATAACTCAAATTAAATAAAACTAAAACTTAATAAAAGACCTATACAGACATAATAAATTTAGACATAATTTAGCTCAAATTAAAATAAATAACAAATACAAATAATACAAATCAAATGACAGTAGTTTATCAGTAATCCTAAAAAAATAACACTGTCAAACATACATGCTAAAAAACAACAACTTACACATAGTAAGA